ACCAAAATGAAAAATTCCTACAGATAGATGGAGGACTAAATGCTGTTAAGAGATAAAGGGATGCTTAATGACAAAGTTTTTCGGAGAGCAACAAAAATCTGGAAATTCTGGAAAACCATGTCCGGTCATGTCCTCAAGGGGTAAGCCATATAAAAAACAAGGGAGATTAATTAGGCGAAAAAAAGAGAAACAGGTCTCTTCAAATCACAACAATATCATTTCGTTTGAAATTTTACAAGGAATTCTTGCGCGCGCTCATAATTTCTATAATTTCTTTATTTGACAAAACGCTCCCATCCGTACACAAAAGAAAAAGACGAAAGACTTTAATAGAGCAGAGTTATTAGACATTGTGGTCAGTTTTATACATTGTAGAGAGAGTAATAAAGCACGTTAATGGCCCTTGAATTATACTGTGATATTAATTACTAGAAACAGAATGTCATTATTTGAAGCAAATTGCTGTAGGGCTATGATATATTTGAAAATAGCTGAGTGAAGTGCTGGTATTTACGAATGAAATTAAATGAAATAAGTGTCCTAAATGAAAGGCACTCAGCGAAAATAATTAGGATTTTCCTTTATCAATTATCTCAGCTTCTTTATTTTCTTAATTTCTTCATTTTTTTAAAGGATTTTAAAATATTTTAGTCTCATTTCTTTCATTACTTTGGTTCCAAAGACCAAGCTTTACCAATCTGAAAAGATCGATAGATAGATAGATAGATAGATTGATAGATAGATAGATGTAAACAAATTGAAATAGATAGATGTGAACAAACTGAAACATATATAGAGAGAGAGATAGATAGATAGATTGATAGATAGAGAGAGAGAGATAGGTAGATAGATTAGTTGTAAACAAATTGAAATAGATGTGAATAGACTGAAACATATATATATATATATATATATATATATATATATATATATAGAGAGAGAGAGAGAGAGAGAGATAGATAAATTTTTTCGGCTCCAATGTCTCGGCGAAATATGTTAAAATTGATGATTTTATTTTTTTTTTATATCTTTACCATAAATAGATATATCGATAGATTTAGGTGGTCTAAGATAGATAGATAGATAGATAGATAGATAGATAGATAGATAGATAGATGTAAACAAATTGAAATAGATGTGAATAGACTGAAACACACACACACACACACATATATATATATATATATATATATATATATATATATATATAGAGAGAGAGAGAGAGAGAGAGATAGATAGATAGATTTTTGGGCCCCAATGTCTCTGCGAAATATTTTAAAACTGATGATTTTATTTTTATATATTTACCATAGATAGATATATAGATAGATTTAGGTGGTCTAAGATAGATAGATAGATAGATAGATAGATAGAGAGAGAGAGAGAGAGAGAGAGAGAGAGAGAGAATTCCTAAAGTATTCACTATGCTCGTATAACCTAATATTTCGAGATATAGCATTCAGTTCCTCTGGAGGTTTCTTCTACTCAGAATACTAGTAGCCATAAATGTTTAGTTTTCGTGGCAATGTTCACTTGTCAAAATACGTGATTTTTTTTCAACCACGACCACCAAAATCCTGATGACCTAATTTCTTTCTTTCATAAGACACTTCGCTTCATTCTTTTATTTTTCGCTCCCAATTTGTTATTATTATTTCTTTTCTAATTAAAATTCCATCGTAAACTTTCAATTTTTTCCTAAATTAACATTAATAAAAGCATTAAAGCACATTGCAGAATAAAGGAAAAGAATTTTCAATTCAAAATGCGCAAAATAAAAGCATGGTCTAATTAGTCCTCGCAGTATATCGTGAGGTCCCCAATTAAAGACACAAAGGAAGAAAGGCACAAACGCTGGGCAGAAATGGGGAGAACGGAAGAGTAAGACCAGCCATTTTATTCGACGTTTTAGTGTATTTTTTAAATTTTTTGTGACAGATTGATCGATGCATTGACTCATCACCAGGAGGCGCCATAATATACGTACATTAAAGAGAAAGAAAGAATGATAGAAAGAAAGAAAGAAAGAAAGAAAGAAAGAAAGAAAGAAAATGAAAGATTTTGAGAAAGAAAGAAATGAAAGATTTTGAAAAAGAAAGAAGGGAAGAGAGGGAGAGAAAGAAAGAAAACATGTACCGTTGCGATCAAGAGGAAACCAACAAAATGGCGGTGTTTTCGATCAAGCAGATGTTTTCTGTTTGGCTCATTACTTCTGTTTAATAATCACAAACCAAAAATCTGAATTTTTGGAAAATTATTTTAGTTAGAGTTTCTATTTTAAAAAAAAATCCTATAGCTTGGAGGAAAGAGCAACAATGTTTTTACATGGATATTGTTTGTTAAAAACTCTTCATGTTTTAAAAAGTTGAACCGAACAAAAATGAGATTTTGATTCCAAAAGAAAAATCAAGATTTAAACGAAAATAGATTTTTCTTGCGATTATTATTATTATTATTATTATTATTACGCTTGACCTTGTGTTAGCACGACCGTTACGTCCTGCCAATTCCTCATAAAATGGATTATTCCGTTTTGATCGCGTGAAAAAAAACATATCAGAGACACTGTCAGTGAGAAAATTAAAGAAAGAAAGAAGGGACGATACAAGTTTTTAACATATGCTGCCAATAACTCATCAATAATGGTCTATTCTGTTTTGATCGCGTGGAAAGATGGAAAAGACATATCGGAGACGCTACTTGGTTTCAGCGAGAAAAGGAGAAAAGGAGATATAAAGGCAGAAAGAAGGAAAAAAATGTTTAACGTCTGCTTCAGTGAAAGGGAAAAAGTTACCGAATTAGAAAGAGTTAAGAAATTTAATTAAGTTTACCAGTTACGGTTCAGTATCTCTGAGTGTCTAGCTGCCTCTTTCTTGCTCCATCAAGCACGCACGCTCGCACCCACACACACACACACACACACACACACACACACACACACACACACACACACACACACACACACACTCTTCATTAAGCTATTTCTTTATTTGCATCTCTCAATTCCCCTCTCTTTACATGTTTCTTCGTTCACCCTCTCTGTTCCCCGCTTTCTGCAGTATTCTTTATCCCTATACCTTTTCTTTCTCTATCCATCTCTCTTCAGTTCATGAATCTCTCTATTCCCGTTCATCTCTCACCGTCCTCTCTTTCCATTCCGCTCTCTCTCTATCTGTCTCTCTCTCTCCGTCTCACTCTCTCTTAAATTATCTCTCTCCTCATCCGCGCTTTTCAACCTCCTTTAATCTATCTTTCTCAAAATGCCCTCTCCTTTCCTTTTCTCTCTAACTATATATACATATATATATATATATATATATATATATATATATATATATATATATATGTGCAGTACATATTAGTAAGCACTCAATATCAGTAATAGAGTCAACATATTTGTTTGCTTGATCGCAAGGGCGTGAAACCTGGGGTCATTAAAAGTTTGAAGCCATTTCAGAATTAGCATGGGATAAACTTAACAGGAAATTAAAAATAATGGAAAAGTGCTCTTAGAGTCATTGAAAAAAAAAAAGTGGAATCAATTATAATTATACTTTGAGAAAGTTTTGCAATGAATGACCAAAATTTTTGCTGCAGTAATCAAGGCTAAAAGAGGATATTTTGATGTGAGCAAAATTTAATCATAAAATGCTTTTTTTTCTTTTTGTCATAGTAACATTTCTACTAAAAATCATGTCGTATGTTTTGTTTTTTTTTAATCATGTATAATAATTTTCTCTTTTAAAGAACTACTTTTGGTTCCAATTTAAAAAAAATAGCAGCGGGGGTGAGTGCTAAAACTTTGAAACTGTAGTTTATGTATAGCCGTCCCTATATTAAAATGTCCCGTTTCAACATTCCTCTCAAAAGCTAGACTTCATGAATTTAAACATGGTGCTTATTGGCTGCAAGGTTTCATCATTTTACAGTCGAACTGGTTAAATGTAGCCGTAAGTTCTATGCTAAATGTTTCTTTCCTTGTGCTTCTCGCTGATGGGATTCACTTCCTGCTTTTTACTTCCCCACCAACTTTGATCTTTAACACCTTATAATGCAATGTTATCTTCTGTCATCTTAATTCTTGTTCTTTTATTGTTCTCTCTCTTTAATAATGTTTTCGTTTTTAGTTTATTCTTGAGTAAATGAATGGAGAAACGAAATTTAGGAGAAATAACAGAAAGATAAAATTTATTAAGAGCTACAAAGGACAAGAAAGTTGTGGAGAGCTATGATCGCCTACGTACTGAGGGGACACGGCACATGAATAAGAGTAGATTGTTGGCAAGGTTTCATCATTTTACAGTCAAAATGGTTAGATGGAACCAAGTATATTTTCTATGCTAGCTGTTTCTTCTGTGATACTTTTTGCTTATGAAACTCTCTTCCAAATTCTTGCTTACCAGTGAACTTTGATCTTAAATGCAATGCCAATCATTATCTTCTCTATTCTTAATTCCTGTTCTTTTATTGTTCTCACACCTTAATATTTTTCTTTGCTCTATGGTCTCAATTGTGCTATAATAAATTTTTCTCTCCTTAATACTGTTTTTCATATTCTCTCACACTCAGTAACCCCTTGCGTCTTATTGGCTTAAAAAAAAAATAAATGGCAATATTTATTTCATTTTTAGTTCCTGGACTTTATGAAGTAAAGCAATCTCGATCCTGGTCAATAACTAGATGAGTGACCTCTTGCTGATACCATTTCCTGGAAGCTTGGATGTGCAGGTTCTAAGGATTACAGACATATCAGGTTGAAACACCGATTCTCGTACGTTAATCGAAGTTAAGCAACGTTGATCCTGGTCAATAACTAGATGAGTGACCTCTTGCTGATACCAGGTGCTGTATGCTTGAATGTGCAGGATCTAAGGCTTACGCACATATCAGGTTGAAACCGATTCTCGTACGAGAGCCGAAGTTAAGCAACGTTGATCCTGGTCATTACCTAGAAGAGTGAATGCTTGGGAATATCAGGTGCAGGAAGCTTGGATGTGCGGTTACGGTCATATCACGTTGAAACATCGGTTCAGGTACGAACGCCGAAGTAAAGCAACGTCGAGCTTGGTCAATAACTAGATGGGTAACCGCTTGGGAATACCAAGTGCTGCAAGCTTGGATGTACAAATGGTGTAATAAGGACTCGGAACTGGAAATCGGAGAGCTGAGTTTCATTTAGATACCAATTATTCCACAATACTAGCTGCTGGAAGTTTGGGTGTGGGGGCGGTGTAATGAAAAATGACCCGGAATTGGAAATCGGAGAGCTGAGTTCTTGTTCTATTTTGGTTCAAATTAATCCATTATGTCTAAATATCTTTGAGAAAGGTCACAGCTATGCATTACTTAGTAAGACATGTATCACTAAATCATTTTTTTCTCCAAAAATATTGTTAATAACTAAAAATATTTTCTGGCTTTAAATAACCTGCAAAATGTTCATAAAACGTAGAAAACAGATCGATTAATCAATCAATCAATTTTCTTTGAATATTTTTATTTATTTCGAGATGATTCATTCGTTTGAAGCCATCATTGATCTAAGAAGACGTTTGTCTATAGATGATAACTTAGACATAACTGAATGTGTTGGACGGGATGATTGACATCGATATGAATGTTTAGATCTGCCGAGTCTGTTTACGTACATAACGGCTATAAGTAAACATCCGTTTTAGAAATAAAATTACATCCTCCATTAAGGGATCAGCTCAAATAAAAGCTAGGTTTTCGAATGTTTTTTTTTTTTTTTCAAAATAAACAAACTCACCTAATCTGAGAGATTTCTAAGATGCAGTCATCCAACCTCACTATTTGGACTTCTGCTGGACGAATCTAATCTTTGCAAATATCCTTCAGAATAATTAAACAAGGCAAAAGCAAATAAACTTCTATAATTAGCAAATAGTGGTAATGTTTATTACTTCTATAAATAAATGAAGAATTTTGTCTTTTTTTTTGTTATGGTCCAAGTTCCTTGTACTACGGTGATGGTCCAAGGTTAGAACCAATGAAAGAATAACACGAACACTGGTATGGAATACAAAGATATATTAGAACAGAAATATAATACAAAGAAGTAGAAGTATTAGTAATGACTATCAGATTTGGTTAGAGTGAACTATGTTGTCTCGACACGTATCACTATTCCAATGTCCTTACAATATGCTCTCAATTATCTCTCCTCGTCTTACAATATCCTCATACCTCTTGATAGGCGCGGTATTTATAATGTCAGGAATAGTCCATTATTATTATGTGTAAGTTCTCATAACACTTCTCATTTCACCCCAAGCAAGGCATTAAAGCCAAAAAGACGCTAGGGGAATATGAGAAATAAAAACTTATAATAGAGAGAGAGAGAGAGTGGGGGATAATAAGAGAACAATAATTAAAAAGACATGATAACGATTGGCATTGCATTTAAATTTTTGACTAGGAAGCAAGAAGCCAGAAGAAAGTTCCACAAATGAGAAGGTTGCAATAGAAGAAACTATTAGCTTATGGTTACATCTATTTTAAAGTGCAATATCTCTTCATAATGTATTGACGATTATGACCCTCCTCATCTTCACTTCTTCCTTTTCTTATCTGTGAATTATGACATCTTGCAAAAAGATAGTAAAGTGATTTTCCACTGCCTTGGAATTCAAAGTTTTAGACTGATTGACAACCAAGACTATAGCGCTCAGTCTACCATTTAACCCATAGCTGGGGTTCCCCAAGTACAATACAAAACTGAATGTAACAGATTAATAATTATTGGGATATATGAAATGTATTTTCACTTTTAATCTTAATTTTTTGTACCATATATAATGCTGAACATACAATGTTGTTTAATCATTTCACCCCTAACAAGGCAATAAAGCCGCTAAGTTGCAAGAAGATTACAAGGGTAAAAACATTACTAAGAAGAGAGAACAATAAAAGAACAGCAATTAAGGAACGATAAAGGATAATAAAGGATAACGATTGACATTGCATTTAATTTTTTGAAAATCAGACTTAACTGGGAATCAAGAAGGTGGAAGAAAGTTCCACAAGTGAGAAATGCAATAGAAAAAACTGTTAGCATAGAACTTACGGTTACATATAGCCAGTTCAAGTGCCAAATGAAGAGACCTAACTGCCAATCTAGTAGTGTGCATTCATAAAGTCTAGAAACTAAAGATGAAAGTTCATCATAACAATTGCCAAGTATTTATAGAAAAGTCACTTGGAAGCTGCGTTACGGCAGTGATGAAGTGAATGAAGCCGAGATGCCATATCAGGACCTGTAACATTGCATTTTCTTTTTTAATTTTATCAAGAATCTTTAAATATATAGCAGAAGCGCCACACCAGATGTGGCAAAAATATTCAAAGTAAGGCCGAACGACAGACTTATAAATATGTAATATAGATTCTGGCTAGAAAAATTATCTACAACGCGACAGTGAACTAACTTTCCTAGCAGCATGCATATCAATTGATTCAATATAATCTTTCCACTTCATGTCAGCGGAAAATGTTAGTCCGCGAAGGCGCAACGGGTCGCCTCTTGGCGTTTTAATTATTTATAATAAAAAAGATATTTGTGGATTTCTTTGATATTCACATACAAAGTTTACATTATTTGTACTGTTATCCTCATCTTCATTGCCATATTCCCGAAGTTTCTACCGTTGTACGCTCCGGCCTTCTTCAGGTGATTGGGATTTCGAATCGAACTCTTGATTTCGTCCACCGAGGTAGATTGTTCTAGTTCCATGTGCCATACCTCTTTTTGGATATTTCAGTTATTTCCTTTTAACGAAACTATTTTCAGTTTTTCTCGCCACTACCACTCACGTAGCATGCAGTTATAGCACCGACATTCGCAATGCAGAAAAATAAGCTCAGACAGATGAATATGCCCTATTCTCAGACGGGGTATTGATTTCGACACCCAATTGTATTTTAAAAGCGCCGCGTTTTGAAGAGTTGATTTAAAAGGAAATAACTGAAAAATCCAGAAGAGGCACAATCTACACTGGTGGACGAAATAAAGGTTTCATTTCGAAATTCCAATCACCTGAAGAAGGCCGGAGCGTACAACGGACGAAACGTTGTAAATATGGCAATAAAGATGAGGATAACAGTCCGAATAATGTAAATAATCATAATACCCTGTCTCAGAGATACAGACAGATATCACATAGAAGGCTTTGTTAGTTCCTTGACTTTGTAAAATAAGAAAAGAATATATATGGGAGCGTGGCCGAGTGATTATAACGTTCGGTTTCTGACCATGAGACCAGAGTTCAAATCTCACCACTCACTTATCGGTCTTTGGAAAGTGACTGAAAACCATCCCAAGGGTTGAGCCAAGCCTTGTGAGTGAAACTGGAAATTGGTTCAAATTGTTCATCATTCCCCCTCCCAGAAACTGTAACTAAAATCTGCTCAGCATAACTACAGTATAAACCACAGGTTGGCTCAAGTGTACATGAGCGAGCGTCTGTAATAGGGATTGGCTAACCGCAAGCGGCCAGATATATATATATATCGTTAAGCTTGTATTCAGAGAAAGATATGAAATTTCTGTAGTTGCCCCAATATTTATTGTTCTGGATATGCGGTACGTTGTTAAACGCAAACTAACAAGAAAAATGTAATAAAATATTAAACAGATAGACATTATCGGTTGATTTTAGTGAAACTTGTTTGTATATGCACTCATACCTCGGTAATACGGACCTAGTTTTAAAGGGTATCGGAAGCAACTGACAAAATCTGGATCATCCGTCTCAGTTTGTAAGTTCCGAACGCTCCGGATGGAGTTGTAGCCACACTGGATACAATCTACTGATTCGCTTCGCTGAACGCAAGGTGGCAGACCATCACTTTTTCGTGTAACCTACATGTAGCTTATTGCTCTGAATGTTTTTTTCCATTTTTATATGCCAATGTGTTTAAGTGGAAGAAGAATAGAACATTACATTACATTATTTACAGTGTACAGAGTCAGATTGGATAATGTGCTTGATTAAATATACAGTACTATATTATTCATCTTTCTTTCATAACGGCTAAATATAACCGTCTCTTCTATTCAAACAGCTTCTTTTGGTGCACTTCCCGTCTGTGAAACTCCCTTCCCCTTACTTGCATACCTGATGACTGTAACCTTCAAATATAGTGTAATGTCAATCGACATCTGACGCACTGAGATTGTTCCCCGTCCTTCTCTGTATCTTTTCTGCAAATACGCCTCTTTACTCTTGTTCTCAATCCTCCGTAACTCCTTGCGTGCTAGTGGCACTCCCGTCGTTTAAAAAAAAATTGTAATTGTTGATATTAACCACGACAGACTTAGTGTCGGAAACTACGGTCAATCAAAATGATAGAACCGATGTGTCCCCACTTTTAT